TTGTATCGGATTGGCGATGGACGTAGAGTCGGCGGTGATGCAAAGGCGGCGGCCGAAAAAGGCGGAAAGTTACAGAGGTGTTGCTGGGAGGTCGGATCCTAACGTCTAGTTCGGTGTTGTGGAGGAATGCAAGCTCCAGGGGGTGATGGTGCTAACCAGTAAAACAGCTTGGGCAGGCCCCGACGGTTGTGGATTGAAATGACGCCCGGAAGAAGAGTGGAGAGGGGGGTGCGCTCTGGGCTGGGGAGGGCGGACGGGACCCAAGGAGCTGCAACCGCGATCGCGAAGGGAATCGGCGAGCCTGGAGTGGGCGACAGACCGGGCGGGAACGATTGCCGTTTCACCGTTGCGGAAGTCTTGGGGAAGCAGAGCTGCCGCAAGGGAGAGGGCGATGGATTACGGGAGAAGGTATTTTATTTTTAATTCGTCCAGAGGGGGGGAACCGAAAAATAACGGGCGACTCAGGGACGAGGAGACTGGGGTTGAGATGAGCGTGTGAGTCCGGCGCTGAGGTGCTGGGTGCCGTGAGGGAGCGAGTGGTGGATGAATGGATGGGTGAATGGAACGAGCGAGCAAATGGACGGTTGGACCAATGCTGCAGGCAGGCAGGACAGGAGCAACAAGCAGCACCAAGCACCACTTCAGTCGGAGTCCCAGGAGAGGACAGGACTGGACGGGACGGACGCACACACCTCAGGACCTGGGGGCCGCTGGCGAACGCAATTATTGTGCCGGGCTGCTAACCTGCTAGCTGCTGGATTGGGATTGGGAAATGGACGTCGGGCCGGGGGGGAGGGGTTGTGGAGGCAGACCGCAGGCCGGGGTCAATTCTCAGTATTCGAGGTTGCAAAGTGCAGACGAGACGACCAGGTGCGACGCGCAATCCAGATGTATGGGAGACATCAAAGAGCTGTGCAGCGCACACAGATGTGAACAAGAGGCCGAGGCGGCGCTGAGAAGTGAAGGAAGTGCAAATCTGCGCAAAGGCAGCGACGTGGACGGTCGACGCCTATGGAAGTTTGGAAAGTGCAGGTTGGTAATAAGAAGGAGGAAGCTAAGACTGTCGACATGCGGCCCGGAGAATGGATAGGTGGATGGAATGAATCGACTTCCAGATTGTGGATGCGGCTGTCCTCCTGCAATTCTTGAGAAGGCACGAAATACCGAACGTGAGGTGCTCGGTAACCACCCAGGGTCGGGTACTGTACATGCAGCCCGGACGAAACAGCTAAACAAACAAAACTTTCGCTGCCGTCAGGTTCAACCTGAACCAGTTCGGAAATCACCCATCCTGCGCAGCACTGCAGCGCGCCGCAGAGCTCAGCTTCGAAAATAGCTGCAGCAGAGCTGCAACAACCAGGGCGGAGACAATGAACGAGGTGACCCGCGCGGGCTAGGGGGCTCCTAGCGGGCCTCGCTTTCTCTTAGACCGGGCATCCATCTACACTAACCCGTTCGAGTCCAGCGACAGGCTGACCGGGCAAGCAATCGGGAGCACAGACCATGATGCTTAACGCAAGGCACCTTGCACTCGCTCCCGCCAAGGCAGGTGCAGGTTGTTCCCGTACCAGCAGGGCTCCAGGGCAGTTGCAGCCAAGCCGAAGACTCAGGGCTGGACAAAACCCGAGGGGTTGTCAAAGTCCATGGCAGTCGGGGTCTCGATGATCTTTTACTCCTGCTCTTCTCCACATGGAAGCTGGATTACAGTTTGTGGAGCAGGAGGTTTCCAGGTCCCAAGCAAGGTTTGTTCGATAATTTGACATGGCGCAACTCAACAGTCCGGCCTGGCTACCCAATATCGACTCCAACGTCCGGATCCATGGATAAACTTTGGCCTCCATCCAACCTGGCCTTGCTCTTATTACATAGGCACCCTAGCTCGCTTTGCAAGCAATGAAATTTGCAATTCAGTTCAAGGTGCGTCCGTCCCCGGGCTCCGTCCACATTGCAACCCCAAGGCAGCGTAAAGGTGCTCGAAGAAAGGTTTCGCGACCAGCACTCGCCAGCTCACGCTCAGGACTGCATTGCACTGCACCGCACCGCAATGCACTCCCACGCCGCTTCGGTTCACCTGGCGGCTGATGCTGATGCCACCGCCGGGCGGCGGGATGGATGGCGGATACAGGGCAGGGCCTCTACTCGACTCGCGTAGGAATGGCGTCTCTCGGGACTGCCCTGCCTGCGTCAGCTCTCGGCCGTTGGGGTTGGCTGACAGCGGGACAGGACACGGCGGCGGAACCTAACCCACTGATGTGCTTGCCCGCCTCTGCAGAATGCAGCTTGGCCTGGGCTAGCTGCTGTGAACATGGAACCGAGCAGTTCAACCCCTGCCTGACATCGAGCTCCCATCCATTGCATTGCATTGCATTGGATAGTACTCCTATCCGTGTGTCTGTTGCAGAGGGTTATCTCTAGAACTAGGTACGGCACACGGCAATGAACCGTATGACACGGACTTGGACACGCCCCGGATCACAGAGCACCGCGCATCGCAAAGGATTGGGAAGAGATGCGGAGGTGGGGCTTGGCTGGGGCGCTCACGCACGATCCGGCCAGCCACGGCGATGATCCGCCATCCATCAAACCCCACTGCCGGCGCGAAGTAAAGGGGGGAAGGGAGAGGGGGGAGTGCAGGTACACTACAACGCCTCGGTTGCATATGGAATTGTGCACTACACTCACAGGGAATAACATTCTGACGCCATCGCATGCAAAATAGCATTGTCTCATGCTCGACATGGACACCGAAACCATGGACACCACCTCGCCCGGTCCCGATGATGCCCTCGACTCGATGGACTTTAGAGCCCTCCCTAAAATTGAGGTACTTACATATCACGCTCCCTCTGGGAGATACTACAATTATGCGAAATGAATAACATAAATTTCTGTTCTTTGTTCTCTTCTTAAAAAAAAAAGACATTAACCCATTCTCACGTCTTGTCCAACAGCTCCATGCGCATCTCAGCGGCAGCATCAGCCGCCAATGCCTCCATGACGTCTGGCTCAAGAAAAAGCAAGCTGGGGAGACGGACCTCCTAGATCCCCTGGTCGAGATGCCTGAGGGGAAGCATGATTACGACCTGCAAACGTAATGAAGTCCAGGTCTTGCCGTTTTGTCTACGAAAAAGACAAACAAAACAAACAAACATGTGCTCACTCACCACCCGCCTCCCTTAGCTTCTTCCCCCTCTTCTCAAAGTACATCTACAACCTGGTCAACGACACCTCGTCCCTAATCTACACCACCCTCGCCGTCCTCCGCGACTTCGCAGCAGATGGCGTCGTCTACCTCGAGCTGCGCACCACGCCGCGCGCCATGCCCGGCGCGGGTCTGACAAAGGCACAATACGTCCAGACTATTCTCGACGCCATTGCTAGCTACGAGGCCGAGCCAGGCTCGAACCTGCGCACCCGTCTCATCCTTTCTGTACGAAGACTTCTCTACAGGTCTCAATAAATACAGGTTGAAATTTCAACTGACGTCAACTCCACCCTCTCAGGTAGACCGGCGAAACACCCTCCCCGAGGCCTACGAGGTCCTCTCGCTGTGCCGGCAGTTCCAGCCCTCGGGCGTAGTGGGCATCGACCTGTGCGGCGACCCAGCCAAGGGCGGTGTCGAGACCTTCACCCCCGTCTTCCGCGAGGCCCGCCAGGTTGCCGGGCTGGGCATCACGCTGCACTTTGCCGAGGCAGAGTGCTCGGGGACCGAGGACGAGCTGGCCTTGCTGCTGGGCTGGCAGCCGGACCGCATCGGCCATGTCATCCACATCAGCGAGGCGGCGAGGGCCGCCATCATTGCGCGCGGCGGCATGGGGCTGGAGCTGTGTCTGAGCTGCAATGTCCATGCCGGCATGATTTGCGGGAGCTTTGAGGATCAGTAAGTTCTTGTTGTTCTTCTTCTGGACGACTCGTCACTCGTGATGCAGTGCTGACTTGGCTAACGATAATAGCCACTTTGGGGAGTGGTGGACGGTTGACGAGTGCGTTGTTGTTCTGAGTGTATGTTACCCTCCTTCCTCTCCTCGAATACCTGCTCCGCGGAGATTCTAACATGGCTTTTTGGAAGACCGACGACGTGGGTGTCTTTGGCAGCCCCCTTTCGAACGAGTACGCCCTCGTGGCGGAGCACTTCAAGCTCAGTCGAGCGGATATCTGCGCTTTGGCCAGGAAGGGCATCGATGTCATCTTTGGCGGTGACGAGGAGAAGGCCAGGCTCAGGGCAGTTATGTGGGCAGAGTAGAGCAGCAAGACATTCCGGGGTCTGTCGCATGCTGTGTGCGGGTAGAGTGCATGCATGTTCGACAGCAGGGCGCCATACTGAATTCTCGTTGATCTGACTGGCACCAAACGCGGGTGGTTGTCACTGATAGCCGCCAGGTGATTGTCAACTTGCATGTCAAGAAATAATGTGATCGCGGGGCAGTCACCCAAGAACAACAATGCATCCACTTAACCACCGTCCAAAGAACCAAACAATACTCCGATAGCCCAGCGGTCTATTAAACATGGATATATCTTTTTCTACCCGGTTTTGATCGAAACCCCGTGTTCTGCCGGCAACAACTATGTGACAAAACATGCACTCAAGTCTTGGATCCTCCCCCAAGTCCCAACCAGCTTCTTCCTCCCACTGAAGCTCCAAACCCACCTAGCACCCATAACCCATAGCAATCGCACTGCAACCGCAGCGCAACATCCACAAACCTCTCGCAGTGAATGGAACGGGTAAGGTACGTATAATCCACAATCCACAACAACCGCCCGCATCCCCCTTTCATCATCCCAGGGATGAAACGGTCAAGCGTGGTCTCCGCTCGCAATCGGCTCATCCAGATGTTCCAGACGGGCCCCACAGCACGAACGGTACAGTACAGGGTACGGGTTACGTAATAATCAAGTGCGCGCGAAGCTCCAGGCAGCAGCCAACCATGGTGCCCGCCCCTTTGGTTACATAAGAAGGGCGAGCGGACAATATTACCACAGTTCCAAATAGTTCAGGACAGGTAGCTCAGTGGTAGAGCAACCGGCTGCAGCGACGCCTCCGGTAGGTCACGTGTTCAACTCACGTCCGGTCCTCTCTTTTTGCTGATTTGGAGATATTTTATTCACCCCTCCCTTGGTTTGTGACGCAAATATTCATCAGCGAGAATACCTCCTTTTTTGTCTGTTTGGCTTATCATTTTCATTTCGATTTTATCAGACCTAAGGGTTTGGCCGTGATGCTTATCAGCTCTGACGCGTTTCCAGGTTGTTCACCATCATAATCTCCATTCTCTGATTTCACCGTGATCATCTACGCTTCCTGATGCGCAAGAACTGTATATCTTTTCTATGGCTTTCATGTGCAGCACGCAACTCTCCTCGTTCATTTTCTCACTCGGATGATACCACCATGTAACCCTCCCAGCCATCATGATCAGACCAAGAAAACAAACCACCTCGCTGAAAACTCGTCACATCGCATGCACGCATGTTGAAGACGCAGACAGACAGATGCACACAACAAACCATCATATGGACAAATGACTACCCGACCCAATAACATCATCAAACCCAGACGGAAAACGTAGAATATCTGCATCGCGCGGCGCAATGGCGGTATCACTTGCTAAAACAAGCCGCTGCGCGCTCCCTGAATTCTCGCAACTGAAACAACGTAGCGATGGTGCAAATGCCGCCCATGATCCAACCATCCATCCCCTCTACCTTACCCATCAATGCCATCCAAGTCGGCCGAAACGCCCAAAACCGACATCGCCATCCACCAAAGAGACAAAAACATAAACCCCGTGTAAATGCCATCAGTCGCAATCAATATAGTCAAGAAGAGCGCGTCTGTCTGGAAAAGGGACGCGAGACAACCCTCACCCAGCCTCATGACACAGTACATGACGAAAAAGACCTAGGAGGGGGTTTGATCCGTCAATACATGGCCCGGTCTGAGGTAGAAGATATATCATCAGCCTAGCCGTCGCAGCGTGACGTCTTGTTGTAGAGCGGAGCACGCACGGCGGGATATGAAAACAAACAAATACAGCGAAAGGGGAACAGAGGCTTACCAAGTACTCCTCTCCCACTCTAGGATCCACCCGCAGCAGATCTTGAGCCTCTCGCGCACACTCGTGGTGCTCAGGAGGCGGTATTTCTCCGACTCCTTGACTGGCAGAATATTTGCAAACCACCATGGAAACACGGCCGGGTCCTGTGGGCATTCGCCGTATATCGCCAGCATACGCGCAGTGAGCCAGCCGACGCTCTGCGCGCGCATGCGCTGAACAAAGTCGGCGCCGAAAGCCATCAGCTCGCTCGTTGGCGTGGTTTCTATTTCCCCGCGGCTTGACAGGAGATGCTTCGCACTTGGTCCTTCTTCATGACTGGCCTGCGACGGCGCCGGGCCGCCTTCAGCTGTGTTTGTTCCTGGTATAGTCATGGTGTGTCTCAGCGGTCGATTGCGGGTTTCGGCCACCTCTCGCTCCTCCTCCTCGGCGATGCTGATGTCGTTGATGTTTTGTATCTTGGCGACGGTGTAGCCGTCGAGCGTGCTGTGCTCCACGACGCGAAATCTCGAGACGCCGACTGTCTCGATCAGACTCCGTCCGTCGGGGAAGAACTCCGCATTCACGATGCGGAGCACCGTCCCGAGTTCTGCGAAGCCTCGGGGGTGATACATGACCATTCCAAACGTGCGGGTCCCTTCAAGCGCGCGCCGTATCATGAGACGGTACCGTGGTTCGAAGACATGCAAAAACGTGGGCATCGACGGGAACGAGAGCGTGCAGACGAATAGGGCGATGTCGTACTCGCTGTTGCCGACCTGGAGATCCTCGGCGTTGATGGCTTGCCTCCGGCTTTCAAGCATGTCGGCCCAGAAGGAGGTGATGATCTTGGTTATCAACTTGTTGGAGGCGCACGCGTCGCGATGAACCATAGGGTCTATCGATAGGTTGCGACGGCAGACGGGGCAGTACCTCGCGTGGTCCAGAACGCGCTGCAGACATGAGCGACAGAAAGTATGGCCGCAAGGCGTTGTCACCGGGTCGTAGAAGAGCGCGTAGCAAACCTGGCAGTCCATCTCGGCCCTCGCTGCCTCCTTCACCTCTTCTAGCACGGCCGTGTCGAAGGTGGCCTGGTTTTCCGTCGCAGGGCTCATGTAGGCCACCTCGGCGTTGTAGTTGAGTTGCTCTCCCTGCGCCAGGGCGAATGTCGCCAGCAGCCGCCCGCCCGGTATCACCTTGGACGTCGTCTCGACGTCTCTCAGGGTCGGCACTCCTGTCTCTTGCCACTGGTCCTTGACGACAACGTGCGTGACGAGTTTCGCAGCGGACGGTGAGTTGCGAGCTGTTTCCAATGCAGATTTGACCGAGGCCAGCGCCTTGCTTAGCGTTACGTCAGGACTGCAATCTCCAAAGGCATGTTCCCGACCGCACTCGGGGAAAGGGCATCGCAAGCCTTGTAACCTGTTTGCCGTGGCGGGATATGAGATGTGTGTTCGAAGGTGTGGGCTGGGCAGACAGTCCCGACATAGCGTCCCTCCACAGGGGAGGGTGAAGGGATCCCGTAGTGGACATGAGCAGACGGGGCATTGTACCAGGCGGACCACCTCTCTTGACTGCTCGGGCAGCAGCTGCCACTGGTCCAGGGGCTCATGTGTGTTTGGCTCATTGCCGGGAGAGAGACCGGGGAGCGAACTCGGCTCTGCTGCTGCTTCTGCCGCTGCTTCTGCTGCTGCTTCTGCTGTTGTCGCGGCAACCTCGGGCGGCTGCGTGGAGGACATGGACCGCCGTGACAGCAGGCCGGCTGCTCGCTCGGTGCATGGAAGATATGAGTGGGAAACCGCGCTCTTCTTTGGCCCGGTAGCGAGGGAACCCGTGGGAGGGTAGGTAGATGCGGCTGCCGCCCACGCTGGAGATGTTTAGATGTTGAACGCCAGGGGTTCCTTTCTCAAACAACTCACAATCCAATTTCACGGTAACGAAGACGTGGTGGTTGTTATTCCGGACGAAAGGGGTGGCTGCGGTGGGGAGGGAGAAGGAACAAATTGAGAGTTGAGATAGACACAATACGGCATCTATACCCAGATTTGCCGACGACTCCAACGGCGACCTCGGGAACCCGATTCGAAGCGGTGGAGGAAAATAGGTCACGAGAAGCGGCAATGGATATCGATCGAGGATGGGCTGACTGATATCGTTGAACGGGCTAGAGGAAAGGTCGGTGGTATCGAGTGGGCGGAAAACGTACGTACCGTACCTTAGAGTAGGGTAGGTACTTTGAGATGGGGAGCTGGGCTAAGAAGCTGGAAGCAAAGGGTGCTAAGGTAGAGGAGTCTAGGAGCGGTTGGTTCCCAAGGACGGGAGCCAGGAAGGCGCGGCAAGGCAGGCAAAAAGGCCCCTTCGCGATCTTATGCCGAAACAACGATCGGTGGCACTAGCAGACTTAAATCAACGGTTCGACTCGTCATGCACGATGAGAGATGGTGGTCAGCCTGTCATTGCCGCCGTGTAAATCGAAGAAACCCGCCCGCCGGGGCGTGGCAGAGCTGGAACACAAAGACTAGCTGGACATGGACAGACCAGCAGCGTGTGAGGAGCGAATGACCGAGACGCAGGTAGGTCCTTGGCCTGCGTGCGGGAGCCCTGAAGGAAAGTCAGGCAGGTACTTGCCCGCCCCGCTAAGACCTGGAGACATGCTGCTCGAGGCCAAAGTGAAAGGGGTGTCCTCGGGAAGGTGCCGCCCAACCTCGAAGCCATGGATGGTTAACCCGTAGGTACCAGGTAGGTCTGCACTTGCAATCCACCACCATGTTGAGCATGGAGGAAGAGCCATTGAAGTGTGTTGACAGATTGAGAAACCGTTCTCCCCCAAAAAATCTCATCTTCACCCAAGAAACCTAATAGCCTGATTTGACATAAATTTGTGCGCGTTCAGCGACTTCGCGGACGTTGCAGAATAACGATTCCATTTCTCCTAGTGTAGCGTAGGCGCATGGAGTATCATTCATCATTAATTACCCTACCTTTATTCAGGGACCCAGTCGACATGCATCCATTGCGTCATGGAAAGACCCCCAAAATCACTTTGCCCACAACCCCTTGCGCATCATCCTTCTGCCCCGCCCCGCTCATTGCAACTCGAGACCGTTCGTTCGTTCCAGTGTGTCAGCTCGCCTTTCGTCCATCATGTCTCAACCCGCGCACCGCGCTGTGCACAGTACACAGTACACAAAAAAATCGGCACCTCCGGTATCCGGATTACCTACGAGTTACACGGGTTCGGACTCTGATCAACGAAATTGCCGACCCCATTAACCGGGACCAAAACGAGTCAACTTTCCGAGTCATTTCGTATGGTAACCACGGCCAGTCACGAATCAAGTGAGCAAAGATACGGTAGTGAAGTTCCTCTTGAGATTCAAAATTATATCCAATGTACGGTGGTACATAAGTCGAGCGACAGGAAAGCACCTCCCAAGACGGAAGTTGCCCAGAGTCGTATTGATTTCATGGGGAAACCGTCAGCATTTCACGAACGCACTAATCCCGTCCAAGCACTTTACTAGCGCGGAACCCAGGACCCTTGCCATGCCTGATCGCCGCTGCTCTCATCGATCTCGGTCTTCACCCGTTATTTCCCAATCGAAGGGGCAATTGTGGCATTCTCCGGCCTTCCATTAGTGCACTCTCATCTGACTGGGCCGGTGCCGGTAATGCCCGTTCTGAGTTGGTCGTCCTTGCGCCTATGCTGACAACGTTAGAAGACAAAACTTTTTATTGTTGGCAAGTGTTCAACCCTGCCGTTTCGGGTCAACCCAAGGCGTTGGGATGATGATGATGACGATGATAAATGGAGCTCCACGTTGAATCTGAGGTAGATAGGTGAGTGAAGAGTATATACAAATGATTATATCGACATTGCGCCTCCCCGTGACTTTGTACAGTGCATCCAAGCATGGCGTAGAATAGATCTGTAGCCCGCCCCACCTCACCCTCGCAACGCTGTCCTTACACGACAACCCCGAGAGTATGCCAACGGGACAATGAACTTGCGTGCCCACCAATCATTGCCGTCTTTGTATC